TCAAAAAGAATTTGTACTATGATGCTGCAAGAGACGTTGTCCAGGGTTTTACAGATGATGGCACTCATCGCACTTCAACCATCGCTGATCGAGCACTGGTTTTTCTTCTTGTTGGCGTTTCGAGAAAGTGGGTTCAACCGGTTGTTTTTACTATAGGGCACACATCAACACCATCATCTGTTATGCATAACTTGCTGGTGTCACTCATTTTGGAGCTTAGGAGCATTAATATTGCAGTGAAAGCAGTCATTTGTGACCAGGGCAGTTCAAATGTAAGTCTCGCTAACCAACTAAGAGTGACTGTAGCAAAGCCTTTTTTGGAGTTAATGGTAAGCGGGTATATTACATTTTTGATGTTCCGCATTTAATTAAAGCAACGCGCAATAATGTCCAAGCACACAAGTTATACATTGGGGATGACATCGTTAACTGGTCGCACATTGTAAGCCTTTACCAATCCTCACATGAGTTGCGGTTGCGATTGGCTCCAAAGTTGACTGAACGGCACGTTCATCAGAAACCTTTTTCTAATATGAAGGTCAGCAGAGCAACTCAGGTCCTCAGTGCATCAGTTTCGATTGCTATCACGGCAATGGTGTATGCGAAGGTGCTTCCTGCCTCGGCCATCACTACAGCTCAATTTTGTGATCGTATGGACAGGATTTTCGATGCTTTGAACAGCTCGAGTAAAAAAAGAACTTCGCAAAAGCTGCGGCATGCAATCATGAAAAATAATTCAGAGCTGATTGACTTCCTCCGAGGCCAGCTTCCCTGGATTGCATCATGGCAGTTTGCTGGCAGACGTCAACCACAAACCATCGTAGGTTGGCAAATTACAATTCAGGCAATTTGTCAACTATGGGACGACCTTTCCAAAAATTACAATTTTGAATACCTGTTAACACGCAGGCTTCAACAGGATCCTCTGGAGAACATTTTTGGCCACATTAGGCAAAAACAGGGTTGCAACACCAACCCCAATGTAGCACAATTTATTTGTGGCCTGAAGCACATCTGCATAAGAAAACTCTTCAAGCTGTCAGAATACGGAAATGTCGAGGATGATGAATGTGACCTCCTCCAGGAGCAGCTCTTGCCATTCTCCCTCTCGCTGTGCCATCAGAAGCAGCTTTTGCATACGTACAACAACTTGAATCTGACTTTCTTGCCATAATTGAGGCCACTGCACATCACCTGAAAGTGTGCGATGTTTTGTATCACGATCTGTCAAGTGTTGGTGATTTTCATTTCTGCTCTGCTGGGTGTCACGCGAAGTTTCTGAAATTGTTTCGCCGGGTTCTTTTATGTTGGCATGTGCGTTTTGTGAACCGAAACTTAGATAGGGTTAGGTTCCAGTCTTCAATCTCAGGCATACAGCTTGACAAGCTCAAAGGTTAGCAATTAGCGGCGGGTTTACACTAAAGTATTCGAGTTGAGCCGAATCCTGCAATAGCTTTGTTATGTTATTACTTCGTTACAGCAGACTTCATTATGGTCCTATATGCTTATATTCAGCTCAACTGGACTAGCCACTCCTTCGTTGCATACATTGTTTAGGTTACCCGCCTATGAGGAGTAGGGACACTGTGTATTCGCTCGAAGTGATTTGCATAAGCTTAAAAAGAATGTTGGGTATCCTTTCTGTATTTTTGTAGCAAATGCGGGCGAACTGTACACTTCACTGTGGCTCGCTTGGTCACTGTGTATGCTTCATCTCTCCAGCTCAAGTATTATATCGATAACAAAACCGCTTGTTGAAATGTCTTCGAGCGGGTAAGGAACACAGTATGAAGTGGGCACGGTTCACGTTATCACGCTTTTCGTATTTTAGCTTCTCATCAACCTCCTCATCTCGCCCATCAAAATTTTCAAAAGAATACCCAAACTTGTAGCGTTTGATGGGGCTGCGGACGCTGCCATTTTATTTTTATATAGCTTGCGAGTGATAACGTACGATGTAGAGCCTTTGTGAAAAATAATGAGCCAAAGTGGTTTCCTTCTTCTATTTATTAGCCCTGTATTACCGCTCTCGTAGCACCAATTAAGGTCCACAATTCTGGATAAAGTGATGACTACAATCTATTTTAGCTCGCAAGCGTCACAGCAACACCCAGACGCAAATCACTTGGGATCTTAAGTTTTTGATGAAGGCAACGCATAACATAAGCCACAAGACCTGCCAGTGTTGTAGCATAAAGTTTGTCTTTCATGTAGTGAGCAAGCTGCAAAGCCCTACCTTTCTGAGGACAAGCAGGCATTAAGTCTGCTTTTTTTCATTTTGGACTAGCTGTTCTTAAGCACAGCCAGCACACTGCACCTTTGCCTTTCTGATATATTGTGTCGTGTGGTTTTTGTGCGCTCTTTTTTTCTATGCATTATTTCGGTTAACCCCAGGCGTGATTCGCGACTTCATTGCTGTGTATATGTCACTTCTTCCTTCTTCATCAGCATTGTGCGCTGTGTTTTTGCCATAGATCCTTACTTACCCACTGGCCCGGTGTGTCATACTTCACCAGCTTCTCGGCTTCTGCCAACTCTAGCGATGTGTGCGTTGTCTGTGTTCTCTATGTATTTGTTACAATATTTGTTACAATTTATTTGTAAGGTGAGATGCATTTGTTGTCTACCTTTGTCATATTGTGCTTTTTATATTCTCATACTCTACCTTGCCTTTGAATAAAACATTGCGGATGCTCTGTTTCTTTGACTGATATATACATTGATCACTTGTTCCAAAAGAAAAACACGAGCGTGATGAATAAAACCGTAGTGAATTATCATTACCTACATTTCTTTTTATTATATAAACTTAATCGAAAAATAAAAATTACGTCACGACCGATTCGCACGAACCACTGAACAAAACAAAACAGGGAATCGCTAAATCAAAACGACCTACAAAAACTATCCATTTGGGCGATGAATAGTGGTCTGAAATCGTGAACTTTCGTCATAGCCGAACGTCGGTTACGCAAAGTAATTCAAAATTTGCGCCAGTGAAACCGAAACAGAAAGCGCACGCCATTTGCTCTCGCCAACCACTAGGTGTGCTAGGGTCGATTGGGCCACTGGGGTCTACGGGAGTGTCCACTCTTAACCTTTATTTATCTATGGTTTTGGCCCTCAAAAGGTTCGTGCCACCCGGTAGCAGCAGACGCGGCCGAATGATAGTTGCGATTTCAATTGTCTCACACAGCTGATGGGTATTGAGCACGTGTACACGCTACAAAAAAGCATTAAAATTTGAATGTTTTATACATACCTATAAAGCATTCTTATTTGTGACGTTTTTTAAGAGAAAATTTAATGAGGCTCACCTTCAACGGTTGTCCCCCTCCCCTGACCAAGCACAAAGGGGTCGAAGAGTCTACGTTCTCTGCAGGCGTGGTCAACGGGCGTCCAGGTCGTGACCAGTATGGACTGTGTATCTGAGCAAATATTGCATTTGCTCTCATCTGCACAAATGACCATCGACAGGTTTTTGTCTTGGGGGGGATGGAAACCCTTTTTTCAACTTGCATCACGGCTGAGGTCGTGTTGGTGTCGCTAGAGTGGGTAGCAAGTGCTGGTGCGGCTTGAAGGGGTCAAGTGCCCCTTTTGCACCTTCTGCCTCGCCCATGCCCATGTCTACACTTCATTCATTGAACACTGCGGTGAGGACTAGTTGACTAAATGCGCAGATTTGTTTTCTTGCGCATTTTATACCGCTGCATAAAACATTCTCACACTGTGAAGAGTAGGTATTTTGATTCGTTTGAAGGAAAGTTACATTCAAGGCATGACAGATACTCAAAAGAGCGGTTTCCTGCAATCGCAATAAGAAAACTCGTAGCAGAGGTGCTTCTTTTTTCGTGCAGCGTACAATGTAAAAGTGAGATCCAATTCAGAAAAAGCGAACTCAGTGACGTGCGTCAGTGCTTGCTCAATGTTCAATGAAAGAAGGTTTCATGAAGTATGACGTAGGCAACAACAGAAACAAACTGCTGCATCTTAAATAAAAAAAAAACAAGCAAAGTGCTGCACATTTGTGGTAGAACATGGACATAGATTGAAATGCGCGTTATTTTTTATGAAACTGAAATAAAAAACTATTTTATAAAACGCTTTGCATTCATCATGATGTCGACACATCTATGTAGTGTCATTTACGCTATTTGGATGAAATTCCTGAATTTCAACAAATTCAGTAACCTGTGGCAGAAGAGCCTTTTGAATTTTTAGTTTCGGTTTCCCCGCCGCTGCCGGCGACGAAAATTGGCCGCGCGCCGACGACGATGACCGGCGTGCGCTTTCAAGACAGTTGGAAACCATAATAACTAGATTTAGATGTCGTGTCCTCCCGTTAAATTTCTATTAACATAGGGCTGGTCTGGCGATATCACCACTATGCAACTTTTGTTCAGAATCGGAAACAATAGAGCATTATTTTTTGTCATGTCGCCGATACAAATTGCTCAGGAAAAAACTCAGTCCACCCTTTCGCTAGCCTAGGGCTGAATTTCACTATAGGAAGCATACTTTCCTTCGGGGCTTACGATCTGGGCTTCAGCCACGACAAGGAGGTTATACTAAGTATAACCTCCTTGAGCCACGAGAACGTTTTCTATGCAGTTTGCAAGTACCTAAACGAAAGTAAAAGAATTAAGCTTTTAATTGCGGGATTATTATTTGTGCAAAAAAATTCCAACATACACAAGAGCATTGTTTAACCATGCTGATTCCTATTCAATGTAATGAATAATTGTCTTATCTGAACAAGTGACAAACAACTATTGCACTCCTTTCATTCGGCCTAGGGTGTCTGTTCTTTTTTCTTTCTTTTTTCTGGTGGGTGGTATCGATATTTAAAAAAAAAAAAACTTACTGAATTAAGTCATCGATTCTTGGCCGGTCCCCCTGAGTGGGTGCGAGCCACGGCTGTGGAATCATCATCATCATCATCTTAACGCCGCCGCCGTCGACTTTGAACACCTCCGTGACTCTGAACGACCCTCACGCCGCCGCCGGTCAACATAGCCTCGGCGCGCCAGTTTATCTCAGAGGCCACGTTTCAGGGTTCCAGGGCCTGTATGAGTGTGCGTTAGAGTTTCCGTGCTGGTGTGTTTACGTGTAGTGCGTGCAGTCCATCCTTGTGCCGACATCGGCGGTGAGGAGTCCCTCGACGTCGTCGTCGAGCAGCGTGCGGTCATCACCTGATGCCCGTAGTGCGGCTCATGCGTGGTGTCTCTTGGCTCGCAAAGAAGCAATCATGAGAAGCGGATTCCACCGCGTTGAGCTGAACAAGACGGTGTGGGAGGTTCCTGTCCGATACACCAACCTTTCGCCCATCGGCGTCGGCGCTTACGGACAAGTTTGGTGAGCGCTTATTCTAGGCTTACAAAGCCCAGTAGGTGTCACGTTACGCTTCATAGCGTTTGCTCGCCTCACAACTCACGTTGTGCTAGTTGCGAGAAGGACGCACGAAGCCTCTGGTGTTAGCCTCATCTGCTGTGTACTACGTTCGCCGCACGAATATTGCGACCGACCTCACTGCTGTGAATGTCTCGATATATTGCTCAAATAAAAATAGTGTGTCATTCTTGCGCTTGGCTTTCGTTGTAGAGCTTTCTGTATATCATGCAGGCTGTAAGGGTCGACTACAGGTTTTCCCGCTCACTTTAATCCAAGTGCCAGCCTAAATAATCTGCACGCCATTGAAATAATCTGAGCGCCGAGCTATTTAATCCATGTGCCAAACATTTAATCCAAGCACCAACATATTTAATCCAAGCGCCAACTCACTCAGGCCACGTGCCATTGAGTTTAATCCAAGTGCCACCGTGTTTAATCCAATTGCCAATGACTTTAATTCAGGTGCCAGTCAGTTTAATCCATGCGCTAGAAACACACAGTTAGCCACTATATATAGTATAAATGTCAGAATAACGTGAACATGGCGTCACAGCAAGAACTTTTCCCTCTGCTATACATGGTAGTGCTTATGAAATGAAGTGCGCAGTGCGACTTCCCCTTAACATTTTGGTGTCATAGCTTCAAAATAAAAAAAAAAAACAGTCAGTATTAATTGCATTTATGGGTACTTGAATGTATTTGCTCATAGAGTCCATGTTAGTCTTTATTGCATTGCTACTGCTTCATTCCGCTTAACCATCTACACCATCGCATATGCATAGATTCGTGTCGTCTGCTGAGCAGACTGCATTTGGCTACGTCTGCTCAGACCAGGGAGAACAGTGACTGACAGATGATATTCATTCGTTCTTGAAATCAGAAATAACCACTTAAAAATACCAAACTTGCATTTATTTGGGTTCATGTGGAAATAAGTTGTTTTAAAAGCATCAAAGTAGATACTCCAGTTTTCATGTAACAGACGACGCTTAGTGTAGCGGAAGCGTGTTTACTTGAAACATGTGTTTTCATACGGGAACATTTGCAGACGAAGAGAGAGCTTTGCTTGAAGCCATGGCTGGACGCAAGCGAGGACCACACTTTAAGAACCCCGACAAACCTTGTCGAAAAAACAGCAGAGTATCGGTGGTTGACAAGGCTAGGATTGTGGACGTTTACAGGCGTGGTGGTGACTTGAAGCAGCTGGCCGACGCTCTAGGCGTCAACATTACAACAGCAAGATCGATTGCCGCTACCGACAGAGAAACATCAAGCATGGTGGGGGTTCAAAAAGGAAGTTTGGAGATGACGTCGTGAGTACTTTGAGACGAATTGTCGACGAAAACTGTACATTTACATTGAAGCAAATAAAGGAGGCCCTGGAGAAAGAAATGCCAGGAGTAACAATCAGTGCAAGCACAGTCGACCGCTTGCTGGATGCCCACTGCTACTCAATGAAGCTAGTGACGCAGAGGCCCACAGATCGCAACCGTGACGATATCAAGCACAGCCGCATGCTGTACGCCCAATGGCTGCAGACTGATGGACCGCGTGTTTGCCGCTTCTATTTGGATGAGACTAACTTCAATATCTGGTGTTCAAGGAACTTCGGCAGGGCAGCTAAAGGACAACCAGCTGTGCACATGACCACAACGACAAAGGGAGTGAACTTGAACATTATAGCATGCATGTCCGCAAATAGAGTTATTCACTGTACTGTGGTGGACAATGTTCATTAGGTTGTTTTAATGACTTCCTCAGTGATGTTTCGGCCCATGTAGAGCGTGATGAGCCAAATACCGAAGCTGTATTCCTTCTTGGTAATGCACCTGCTCACGCTCGAGCAGAACAGGCGGCTTTGGCTAACTCCATGCACTCTATTAAGCGCCTGCCAGCGTACAGTCCCTTCTATAACCCTATAGAAGAAGCCTTCTCGAAATTCAAGTCACACGTGAAGGCCTACCTGAGCGAACGTCGTAATTTAGTTTTAGTGACACCACAAGGCATGACGAAAAAGGAGCACAGGCGTTCTTTACTGCTGGATGCGGCTCGCCACTCCATGCAACAAATACAGAGCGAAGACTGCGCGAACCTTTGATCGGCACAATTTCTCTTTCGTGCCTGCCGCTTTGCGTGAAGATGACTTGTGAACATTCGTCTCCGAGCCCTATGAGACAGTTCTGTTTTAATAAATACACTAGCCTGTGCCTATGTTGCATTTCTTGAATAATTAGTAGTAATCACTCTTGTTTTCCTGCATATGTATATATGTGTTCACACACACACACGCATGCACGCACACACACACACTGTGTGTGTGTGTGTTAGCGTGCGTGTGTGTGTAGAGATAGAGAGGGGGGACAGAACAAATAATTTAGTGATTGCACTGAATCTTCAAGCTTCCAATGTGCGATGAGAGGCATAATGCCGCTCAAAAAAACACGTACACACAAAAAAGAATACTAGGCCCACGGTCAGTTGGGTGTTATTATCACTTTGTTTCCTCTGTGTTCGTTTCATCGCATTCGTCAAGTATGCCACAAAACTAACGAGCTCTGTGTGTAAAAAAATAAGAGCATACTGACACAATGTGATTTCAAATTATGCGCGCTAGCCGATACTTGTGCCGTCTAGATGGTTTGCGATGCACGAGCCTGCGGGACCCAGCTGCACGCGAACCGTGTTAAAAAAACCAGAAGAACGTAGAAGAAGAGGCAAAGGTGAATCCTCAAGACAATCGAGCTGTTTTATTGTTCTCGGGCACAAGTTCGCCCTGCCTAGGTTAGTCTAATAAAAGAGTTCATTGAAGAGTGCGTTACAAATCTGGTGGAAGTGCTGGGTGTGATGCCAAGCCCCTCTCGAGTGACGGAGCACAGTCCAGAACCACAGCGATTTCGACCCAACGAGCTGACGCCTGTTCATCAGCGCTGCAGTCGACGCCTACGTGGTGAGGGTCCTGAATTTTCACCTTTATCGACTTCCCTTGGAACATCAACGGCTGTGAACGGGTACGCAACCGACATGACTGCTCAGGTCACTCCAGCCAACATTGTAGTAAACCAGCCAATGCTACCAAAGCCTTTCTACGGCGAAAGCTACGAGGATGCAGAGGACTGGCTTGAACACTTTGAACGCGTCGCAAAGGCTAACGGATATGGGGAAGAGTGGAAACTTGGAAGTGTTTACTTCACACTGGAAGATAGCGTACGAACATGGTATGAAAACTACGAAGCTACCTTCCGGTCGTGGAGTGATTTTCGACGGGAGCTGCTCGCTGCTTTCCCGAACACAGACCGCCAAGAGAGAGCTGAAGCTGCGCTCCAGGCAAGAAATTAGCGAAATAACGAAACTGTCGCCATGTATCTAGAAGACATGTCTCGCCTATTCCGCCGAGCGGATTCAAATATGAGCGAAGACGGGAAGCTGCGCCATTTGATGCGAGGCGTAAAGCAAGAACTCTTTGCCGGACTAATTCGAAGCCCGCCACGCACCGTCGCCGAGTTTCGTTCCGAGGCGACTACAATGGAAAGGAAGCTACAACAGCGAGCAAGGTTATACAATCGAGATGCGATCGTCACTTCCTTGGACATAATGCCACCAGTCTTCGGTAACGGCATGGAAGCACTACGCGAGCTGGTGCGGTCTGTTGTGCGAGAAGAGCTGCAGAAGCAGCGTCTTGACCAGAACGCCCCAATGCTTTCTTCTCTGGCCGATGTTATCCGTGAGGAGGTCAGGCAGGTGGTACGCGAACCTTCGAGCAACGCACAGCCAGGGCCGCCACTACAACAGAAGACGAGAATGACGTATGCTGATGTGCTACTGCGAGGACCTCCCGGACGTGCAGACGTCGCGGCGGCTACACATATGCAGTACCCGATGCCACCGAGCACCCTGCAGCCAACGCCAGAGAGGAGACTAACGAAGAGCGATGTCTGGCGCACTCCCGACCGGATACCGCTGTGTTACCACTGTGGGGAGCCTGGCCATCTCTACCGAACGTGCCACTACCGCCAGGCAGGACTACGTGGTTTTCCTGTTAATGCACCTCGACCACGAAATGGTGAACGTCCCTTCGAAATTGAAGAGTACCTGTCAGGTCGTCAAACCTTAAGTGGCTTCCAACGACACCAACCTCGTGCAACGACAACGGGGAGGTATAGATCGCCTAGCCCCCGACCTTCAGCAAGCTCCCCAAGGTCTCGTTTCCCAAGCCTGCGTCGGGAAAACTAGAGTCAGCGACCTGTGGAGGCAAGGCCGCTGTCGACGCTAATGCAAAAAAACCTCCATTGCTGACTCTGAACGACGACCGATTCAGAAACCGGTGCTTCGATAGTGACGTTACTTCCGATTTACGTGTGTTCGTTGACGGCTATGAAGTCATCGGACTGGTAGATACCGGCGCAGATTATTCAGTGATGAGTAGCGGACTTTCTAAAGTACTGAAGAAAGTGCTGACTCCCTGGAAAGGACCACAAGTTTGCACAGCAGGAGGGCACCTCATCGACCCTACTGGAATATGCACAGCAAGAATCGGAATACGGGGTTTCACGTACGTCGCCAGCTTTATTGTGCTGCCTGAATGCTCAAGAGACTTGATTATCGGCATGGATTTCTTACGAGCTAATGGCGCTGTAATTAACTTGCGGGAATCTTCCGTCTCATTCTCGACTAGGCACGCGATTGCTACCTTTGAAACGGAAGAAAACGTATTTGACCTTTGTATTGCAGATGATGGCGTCATGGTGCCGCCAAGATCGAGCATATCTGTCGCAATAACCAACAAAGCATTCAGTGAATTCGAAGGGTTTGCTGACAACAACACTGCCTTACTACTCCAAAAAGGAATCTGCATGGCACGAGGCCTTGTTAAGCTACGTGACGGATGTGCAAATGTTCTACTCACAAACTTTGGAAATGAGGTGCAGCACGTTGCAAAAAGAACCGTCATCGCCAGTCTGAATGAT